TCGAGTCCAGTGCTGGCGCGTTCTCGCACGCTCGGTCTCCTGGGGTCGGCTTCGGGGCCCTGCAAGACCGTCAACAGAAAAGGTCCGCCGCGGCAAACAGGTCCCCGGTGGGAGGCGCGCACCTATACACCGACCTGTTCGTTTTTTTTGTTGGAGCGCGTGGGCCCAAACGGTGTTCGCGCAGTTGCCGACAGAGGGCACGAATGCCATGCTCCCCGGGGCGCGTTTGGGCAGGCGCGGGCAAGGCCGCAGCGGCCCAGGCGAGGCAGGCTCTCGATTCCATCCCGGGCCCGGGATGGAATCGAGAGCTCTGGGGACCAGCGTCGTGAAAACCAGGCCCTCGGCTGAACCAGCCCCCATCAACGAGCGACGGCTCAATCACTAGAAAATCGAGCCGTGTGGGGAGCGCCGCGTGGCGCCAGGATAACATCCGAACATGCAGCATGTCCTGGAAATGTGCTTGTCCAACCGCCGCGACCCTGCAAATGTGTGTCCAACCGCTGCGATGCTCTCTCGGCGAGAGGGGGAGGGGGGGAGGAGAAAGGAGCGACACGTGGCACATACTTAGTAGCACGAGGCGGCGTGGCATGGAAATCGGGGACGTCGGCGATCAGGGTCAGGTTGCTGAACGTGTCGCGGCGGCGGCCCCTGCGACGCGCAATGCCTTCCAAGCTGACGGCGTGCCGCAATGCTTCGTGGAACGGGAGGCTGGGAACAGCTCGGAACGTTGATGCTTGAGTTAGGTCGGTCATATCCTCCTACAGGCGGATTCTGGACGAAGAATAAAACATCATCAAACGTATTCAAAAATAGACGAACTAGTCAACAAAAAACCGTCCACCTACTCTTTGTTTGACTAGGTTTGAGCTCAACTGCCCCGATACGCAATACGCAACACGTATCGTAGTGCTACGGAGCTCAACACGTAGGCTGAAAACGTAGGTCCGACGCGATACATTCGCCAACACGTGGCCCAATGCGTGGAGCCAACACGCAACGTATTGACACGGACGTCTTGAACACGGGACGTGTTGCGTTTCAAAACGGGCGTATCGAGGCAACTGAGGTCTTGAGTAGTCCTCCTGTAGAGGGACAGGCCCGTCTTGGTGCTCGCGAGCGGGGAGACGCACTCGGCGCGTCGCGCCGCAGCGAGGCGTGTCTTGCCCAAAGAACTCGTCGGCGCGACGCGAGGAGCAGGAGCTCCCCGGCCGAAGTCGGGGGGGGCTCACGGCGGGAGGGCTGCCAGAGCGGAGGAGGAGGGGGGGGGAGGAGGAGGAGGAGGAGGAGGAGGAGGAGGAGGAGGAGGAGGAGGAGGAGGAGGAGGAGGAGGAGGAGGAGGAGGAGGAGGAGGAGGAGGAGGAGGAGGAGGAGGAGGAAGGAGGAGGAGGAGGAGGAGGAGGAGGAGGAGGAGGAGGAGGAGGAGGAGGAGGAGGAGGAGGAGGAGGAGGAGCAGGAGGAGAGGAGGAGGAGGAGGAGAGGGGGGGGAGGAGGAGGAGGAGGAGGAGGAGAGGAGGAGGAGGAGGAGGAGGAGGAGGAGGAGGGAGGAGGAGGAGGAGGAGAGGAGGAGGAGGAGGAGGGAGGAGGGGGGGAGGAGGAGGAGGAGGAGGAGGAGGAGGAGGAGGAGGAGGAGGAGGAGGAGGAGGAGGAGGAGGGAGGAGGAGGAGGAGGAGGAGGAGGAGGGAGGAGGAGGAGGAGGAGGAGGAGGAGGAGGAGGAGGAGGAGGAGGAGGAGGAGGAGGAGGAGGGGCCAGCTGCGATCCAGCCAAGCAGAGCGGCTGGAAGCCACCGCCGCCTGCGGCCCCAGAGCGGGCAGAGCACAGCCGTCCTTCAAGATGTGGCGGGGCTCGTGAAAACCCACCCCGTCGGGCGTAGTCCCCCTCCTTGCTCCCTCCAACTCCTCCCGGGAGGAGAAGGGGCGGGGAGAAGGCAGGAGGAACGTGAGAGGAGGAGAGAGGAGGGAAGGAGGTGGAAGAGGAGAGAGGACAGAGGAACGAGAAGAGGAGAGAGGACAGAGGAACGAGGAGAGAGGACAGAGGAACGGGATACAGAGGGAGAGAGAGAGAGAGAGAGATAGGATAGAAGCGAGACGAGAGAGAGAGAGAGAGAGAGAAGAGGAGAAAGGGCAGGGGGGGAGCGACCCCCCGGAATAGTGGAGGCACGACGCGTCGGGCAAGCACAGATAGCTCGCCGGGACAGGGCCCGCATCGCCTGTTCGTGGGGGAGGGGGGGGGAAGGAGGGAAAGGGGAAAGCCACCCCGAGGACAGGACGCTCCGCGAGGCAGACGGGACCGCGCGCGAGCCTGGTCCGTGGCCTCGGTCAGCGACGGCGGCGGCCTGTCGTCGACCTGGTCACCAGGCTGCCCCTCCCCGATCGCACAAGCGCTACAGCAGGAACATGCGATACGGTGAGGGTATTGGGTAACGAACCATTGGACAAGGAATCCAGGGTCTGGAAGACAGCGGCGGGCCCCTGGCTTTCCTCGGGGGATGAGGGGGAGCTCCCGCGGGGCACGTACATGCTGGCAGGCCGACCACTTCTTGGATGCACCTGCCGCATCCCGCTCGCGGCCTGCACCAGCACCTGCGCGCCGCGCTGCAGTCCTGGAGCGAGCCCCCAGCGGGGGCCCGCCGCGCCCAAGGCGTGGGGAACACCTGGCGGTGTGCGCCAGGCGGCCGGCAAAGCACACACGCGGCTGGACTCCGACGCGCACCGCGCAGAGGCCACGCGCGGCATGCGCACGCGGAGGAGGCGCGAGCTCCTTGCCGCACAGGGGGCCGAGCGCTGGAAAGGCATGTAGCAACACGTGCAGCCAGCTCTCGCCCAGGTCGGCCGCGTCATGCGCATCCAGCGTCCTGGCAGGAGCCATCAGTCTGGAGAGGGGAGATTTACAAGAAGAAGAGAAAGAAGCAACGCCATAAACATACACCTTTGGCGCTCCATTCGGAGTTCTTGGATCCGCGCTGGGACCCCCTCCCTGGCGCGCGCCAGGGGCGGCGCCGGAGGCGCCGGCGGGGGGGCCCAGCGCGGATCCAAGAAATCCATGGGGAGCGCCAAAAAGTTTATGTTCATGGCGTTTTTTCTTCGAGAGTTGCCATCACGTCATCACCTCGTTCCCTCGTTCCGGCATCCGGCGTCATCTACAAGAAAACTTCGTGTGAAACTCCTGACCAGAACTGCTGGCCCCATTTTCAAATGTGATCTGTCGGGCCGGATCGATCTGTGAGGGCCCTCCGTGGCTCGAAGCGAGGCGCAGGCGCCAGTGGCGACCTTCTCGCTCACGGCGCCCGGACGTCATAGCACTCCGATGCCCTCGACTGCGCTCCCCCAGCCTGCAAGCGGATGATCGACGAACACCCTTCTCCTTCAAAACCGATCTCCGGATGCTTCCTCGAGCGCCTTCTGACTAGGACTTCGGGGCGAATCCAGTCGCGGCGACGAGTGCCCTCCAGTCGCGGCGACGAATCCGGGAGATGAGGCGAATTCCCTCCTCCCGCTGCTCCTCATTGTGGTTGGCTGCAGGGCCATACCTCGGGCATGAGGCAGGCGTTCAGGACGATACTGGCGCCATTTTCCTGCTCCAGTTCCTCGCCGTCGTCGTCGTCGTCCTCCTCCTCCTCCTCCTCCTCCTCCTTCGTCATTGGTCTCTGTGGTCTTTGGAGGCAAGCAAAGAACGATGCTCAACAGCATTGACTGAAAGGTCCTCTATCCTCTCCTTTATCGTCCTCATCCTCCTCCGCATCCTCTACCTCCTCCTCCACATCTTCCTGCTCGTCATCCTCTCGCTCCTTCTTCTCCTCCTCCTCCTCCTCCTCCTCCTCCTCCTCCTCCTCCTCCTCCTCCTCCTCCTCCCCCTCCTCTTCGTCAACCACCCCCTCCACCCTCTCCTGCTTCTTCTCCTGTTCTTTTCCCCTCCTCCCCTCCTGCTTCTCCTCCTCTTCCTCCTGCATCCATTTTCACGATTGCAGAATCATCACTGTCGCGCCCCCAGACGCGTCGGTAGGGCGGGTCGGGCGGGTCGCCTGAGACTCACTACCCTGAAGAGAGACATGTGTAACACTGACAAGGGTGGAGGGCGGGCCGGCTCCCCAAGTGTAGCTATGTCGCTCTGTCGTCTCAAACAATGCAGCAACTCCCAGGCAATGGTTTTCAAAACGTTGCTCTCGCGCTAGCGCCGTGCACTTTCGTCCAAGAAGTTGGAAATAGCTTGGAAGATGGAAGGCGGGCCACTTTTCTTACCTCAGCGCCGGGCACATTCATCCTAAAAGCTTGCAGCACATTCAAGGATGATGGGCGGATCAGCTTCAAACTGTAGCTCTCGCATTAGCGCCGCGCGCCTTCGTCTTACACATTGCAGCAGTTTCAGAAATGGAAGGTCCTTTCTTTTTATCAGAATGTGGCTCTCGCCTCAGAGACGCGCGCAGTCGTCTTGAACGCTGCACCAGTCTCAACGGTTCGTAGGGATGCATTTCCAGTATTTGCGTTCTGGCACGCTTAAGGACTGCCAGGACGCACCCTTCACGTTGACTCGCGGCGTTGGAGTCCAAGGAGTTGCGTCTGGGCAAGATTGGAGATTATCAGACGGATGTCTTTCAATGGGGCACTCTCCGCAATGAAAAACGTAGTTTTGCAGGGACATGCGACGGGGGCCTTGGAGGGAGGGTTTATTACAACATCGCTGGCGCGTCTTAGGTTTACACTGGTCCTCCTCCTCCTCCTCCTCCTCCTCCTTATCTTCCCCCTCATCTCCCTACTCCTCCTCCTCCTCCTCCTCCTCCTCCTCCTCCTCCTCCTCCTCCTCTTCCTCCTCCTCCTCTCCCTCCTCCCCCTGACCTCCTCACGCTCCTGCTCGCTTCTGCTTCTGCCAGACTGGCGGGTCGGCGCGCCTGCGCGGTCCTCGGCCCAAACGACGAGGCCGCGTACCTCGCAGCGCTGGTTGCGGGTGGGTGGGTGACCATGGGCACGGCCGCGCTGGGGGGCGAGAGGAAGCGAGGTTGGGAGGCAATTCTTTGTGGGAGCGATCTATGCGATTACACCAAGTCATTGGGACGGATCCCGCGGGATCAAGCCCCAGCAAAGGGACCGAAGTTCGAAGCTCAATGCTCTTATAGTTACATGTCGGGATGCTTCTAAGCCTCCAGGGTGTCTCGTCGCCACGGCCAAGGGTACAGATGCAACACTCTTTTGTTGGCAACGACCCGCTAACCTGCATCTCTCAATTCATTTTACGTGCCGTAAGCGCGCCACCGCATGCGCATACATCACTGTCACGGAATCTACTTCTGGAACCCAAAGGTCACGCGACCAGGGGCGGCTCCAAGACTGCATGAGCGCTCCACGGAATGGGCCGACCTCCCTCTAGGGACCGCAATCCAGCTCCGTCAGATGCAACGCGAAAGTCATACAACGCCACGCCCACGCATCGTTGCGGCCTGGCTGGGTAGCTTCACCAAGCGCGGTGGTGAATGTACGTGGCAGCGCAAGCAGATATACCCATACGTTATGTATAGATCATATAACATCACATCATGTCGTATGATATCATACTACATCATATCAGAACACATCATAACACCTCATAGCATATCATCTATACACATATACAACTTTCTATTCATTTACACGCACAAGCGTACATACATACATACATACATACATACATACATACATACATACATACATACATACATACATACGAACGTAGCACCCCACAATTACGGATAAGAGTGGGGGGCAGCGGGGTCGTCGGCAATCTGCGAAGCGCCGGTTGTGTAACACATTGCACACCGAGCCCGCCGCAGGGGCCGAGATTCCGTCAAAACAATGTTGATGGGTCGCGGGTGGGTCGCGGGAGTGGTAGCGGGGCGGGTCGCGGGGTGGGTCGCGGGCGAGGACGACGACAACAGCAACGATAATCATCTCAAGGCTGTTCGCTCCTATCTGCTCGCTGGCCAATCAACACGTATACCCCGAACCCTCGGTACCCGCCCTCTTCGTCTTCGATCGTGCCCCCTTGGGGGGATATCTGCCTTGTCTGCCACACGCATGTAGGGCAACCTTTAAAACGGGAGAAGAGAGGACGGATGGAAGGAGGAGTGAGAAGGATGAAGCACAAGAAAAATTAGCGGGAGGGGGCTATGGGCAGAACGCATGTGGCAGAACGAGACGGGCAGATCGGGCGGGCAGACCCCAGCGGGCAGGTCACGAAGGCGGGCCCAAGCGGCCAGGTCGAGAAAGCGGCTTGCTGAAGCGTGGGTCCTACATGAATGGCAAAATGAAAACGTGATTCCTAAGCATCGAGGGCGCGGATTCTGAACACATTGTGAGGAAGTCCCACGCGAGAGCGCGATTCCTGCACACAGAGTGAGGAAGTCCCGCACGAGAGCTCGATGTTGGAATACATTGTGAGGATGTATCAGGCGAGAGCAGTTGTTAGTTCGGTTCGGGGCCCAACAACGCAGTCTGAGCAGGAAGCCTTTTCTTGTTTACCAAAAACACAAGGTGCGAGCCCCGATGGGGGGAGGCACTTCAAGTGAAAAAACAAGGTACGCCAGTGTGCCGGGGGATCAACCACAATTTCTTCAACGGTGAGAGTTCAGCAACAACAGCAACCAACACCACCAACAACAACAAGTACGATCATTTTACCCTCACGCGCTATGTTTCCACACGAAGCATGCGACCATCATGCTAACCATCCCCTATCATGGGGGACAATTGTTCTATAGCGGGGTCCGTTATTCGCATTCCCAGATCTCCCGCCCAATGAGGTCTTGCAAACACCTCCCCCGAGGAATTTCAACATATCCCACCTCGCAAACGCATGCCCGCGCCTTGCTGCGCCGATGCGAGACCGCTAGTGGAACCCCAGCCATGGGTAAAGCACAAGGAAGGATCGAGCGACTGGATTGCCTTGGTGGGGGTGGGGGCTGTCGGCGGCGAGGCAAGGACCTGGCCCTGAATAGGAAGGGAAGAAGTCTCGAGCAGGGCCGCTGGTGCTGCTGGGCGCGGCGCCAGTGCTGCAGAGAGGGCGCTAGTCCACCGTAGAACAAAACGAAGTCTCGAGCGGGAAAACTGGTTTTGTTGCGACGGCGGTTGTCGGCGGCGAGGAGGAACACCGCCTTGAGTAAGAAACGAGGAAATCTCGAGCCGCAGCCGTGGTTTTGTTGGGACGGGGGCTGTCGGCGGCGAGGAACAACACCGGCCTGAGGAAAAAAAGAAAAAGCCTCGAGCGGGAGCGTTGTTCTTGCTGGGAGCGGCGCCAACTCAAAAGAGAGTACGGCGCCGTCCAGCGTAAAAAAGGAAGAAGTCTCGAGCGGGAGCGTTGTTCTTGCTGGGGGCGGCGCCGATGAGAGAAAGAGTAGCGCGCCAGTCCAAGGTAAGACCGGAGGAAGTCTCGAGCGGTAGCGCTGGTTTTGTTGGGATGGCGGCTTTCGGCGGCGAGCAGGGGCAGCAGCCCTGAGTAAAAAAGGAGGACGTCTCGAGCGGGAGCAATGGTTTTGTCGAGGGGGGGCTGTCGGCGGCGACGAACAGCACCGTCCTGAGCAACAAAAGAAAAAGCCTCGAGCGGGAGCGTTGTTCTTGCTGGGAGCGGCGCCAATTCAAAAGAGAATAGGGCGCCAGTCCAGCGTAAAACGGAAGAAGTCTCGGGCGGGAGCGCTGGTTTTGTCGGGGCGGCGGTTTTCGACGGCGAGGAGCAGCACCGCCTTGATAAACAAAGGGGGGAAGTCTCGAGCGGGAGCGTTGTTCTTGCTGGGGGCGGCGCCGATGAGAGAAAGAGTAGCGCGCCAGTCCAAGGTAACAGGGGAGGAGGTCTCGAGCGGTAGCGCTGGTTTTGTTGGCACTGCGGCTTTCAGCGGCGAGCAGGAGCACCCGCCCTGCGTAAAAAAAGGAGGAAGTCTCGAGCGGGAGCGGTGTTGTTGTTGGGGGGCCCGTTTGGGCGCCCCCCCAAACCGCTCGAGCGTGAGCCTCATTTTCGATGAAAATGCAGCCAGCGCCGAGGCGAGAGCGCCAGGGCGCCTGGGGGGGGTCCAACAATAACAAGTGGCACGTGTGTGCCCAGGCTCATACAAGTGATGCAAGCTGGGCTGGCGGAGTGAACGAAGCGATCAACAAGAGAAGTGTAAGCACGATTCCCACCAGCCGATCTGTTCCACCAGACACTTGTGGAGGGAAAGGGAAGGAGGAGAAGAGGAGGAGGATACCTGCTGGGAGTGAAATAAAATAGCGAGGTCGCACTCGAGCGCAAGTGGGGTTGCCACACCTTGTGATGTGTGTACCAGGGCCCCCCAGGAAGCAGCAGGAGGCCCGACTTGGATACCGGAAGAGGCTCCAGGAGGCCCCAGGATTGTGACTGTTGTGTGGGTGTGTGTGATGTGTGCTCTGTGTTGTGCGTGTCTTCTGTGCGTTGTAGGTGTTGTGTGTGTGTGTTATGTTTGTCTAGCGTGTGATGTGTTGAGTGTGATTTGTGTCTCTGTGTGTGCATGTAGTTCTGAGGCCCCAGGAGGCCCCAGGAGGCCCCAGGCGGCCTCAGGATGCCCCAGGAGACCCCAGGAGACTCCAGGAGGCCCCAAGAGGCTCCAGGAGGCCGCAGGAGGCCGCAGGAGGCCCCAGGAGGTTCCAGGAGACCCCCAGGAGGCTCCAAGGTGGGGTCTGGGGTACCAGAAGGCACAGAAAGCCCCAGGAGGCCCCAGGAGGTTCCAGGAGGCCCCCAGGAGGTTCCGAGGCAGGGTCTGGGGCACCAGAAGGTACATCGGGGCTCGATTTTGAGAGGATGTCTCAGGCGAAACCGCCATTCTCTGAGATTCGGAGCCAAAACCATTGAAATTACAATATGTGTTTGAAGGTTTTGTGTTAGAATGTTGTAATTCCCATGTGTTTTTGAACCATGACGTCACGATCTGTGTCAGGGGTGCCACCGATTTTCAGAATTTCGAGGATGTCCCTAGCGAAACGGCCAAACAAATCGCGAACGACGCGGCGCGTACGCATAAATCGCCTCTGACTTCGACTCCCTCGGAGAGGTGCGTATGATAATAATTGTTCAGTAATTAGCATTCAGCAGCAACGCAACAACAATCCGCAACGCGGAACCCCGACTCTGCCAGGCGCCCAGGGACAGCGACTGACCGCTCGGCCCACTCACTCTGCGTTATTTGTATATATACACAGACACGCATGCACATCTACAATATGTATAGATATACATATACTTCAATATAAGAAGGAATCAACGGTCCTAGATCCTCGATCGACAAGGAGGAGGGAGAGGAGGAGGAGGGAGAGGAGGAGGAGGAGGAGGAGGAGGAGGAGGAGGAGGAGGAGGAAGAGGAGGAGGAGGAGAACTCGGCTCGACTTCATTCGCGCTCGATGATCTTTCCAACCACCAGGCCCATAGCTCTTGCCGCGGTATATGGGAACGGGCGAAGACTTGCGTTCAATAATCGGCTGGGCCACAACTGGGGAATGGGCTTCATTCATACACCACGTCGTTGGTTCGCCCACGGATTTGGGCGTAGATGCAAACAGCGTGGCTCCCCAGGAGCTGGGAATCTCGAGAAGGTGTAAGCTGAATCCATTTTTTCACAAATCGACGTGGTGTAGACACCGAGTCCTTCCGAAGAGCTCCTGCTGTGGTGCATTCAGGCGCAGCTACGCGAGGTCACGAGCACACGCGAAGCCACAACATCTATACCACCCCGCCAAGGTGCCCTTCGACGGCCGAAGCCTCTCGTCGCCGTGGCCGCGGGTGTTCGCGACGGGCGCGGCGGAGGGGGAGAAGGGCACGGCGGCGGCAGCTGTGGCAGGAGGGGGGGGGGGCGGCAGCTGTACATCGATGGAAAAACTGCGTAATCCTGCCTGACGGCCCACTCACTACTGGAGGAAAGGGAGGAGGCCCGCCCCATTTTGTGGCGGGCAATGGAAAGGAGTCCTCTCAACGCAAACGCTCCACCTGCAGCTGACCTCCCACTCCAAAGAAATAAACCCGCGTGGCCAACGCCCG